TTTATTTAATGTTTCCCTGCACCAGCCACTGCTGCTTTGAAATAGTCCTGCAAAAGAAATGTGTTTACCAGAAATCTTCAAGGCCAGGTTGGACAAAGGGGCTTGGAGCAACCTGCTCTAGTGGAAGGTGTCCCTGCCCGGGGCAGGGGTTGGAGCTGGAGGAGCTATAAGGTCCCTTCAACCCAAACCATCCATGATTCTGATTCCCAGGAACGCTTGAGCTCCAGGATCCCTCCCTGGGCCCCATCCATGTCCACACACCCATCAGGCACACACCACCCTTGCTGGGACTGCACCAGGTCCCACTCTTGGGCCAGAACCAGGGTATGGGTGCAGGGCAGGGGCACACTGTGCTCTCCCATGGACCCAACACCCAACATGGAGAGCCTGGAAAGCCGGAGCCCTTCTTGCAGCCCCTCGCTGGAGCTCAAATCCTCCCAGCACCTGGCCAGACCCCAGTCACCCCACTTTGACATGGCCAGAGCTGGACCGGTTCTGCTGGGGACCTTCCAGGGGTGGAGAGGAGGAAGAGGAGGCATTGCTGCACCGCTGCTCAGCTCCTTTGGGCTCAAAGGGGCTTTTCCCTTCCCACTGCTGGTTGTGACACAAAGCATCAACCCCTCAAGCTCAGGAAGGACACGCTCCCCCCGTTTCACACACTGCCACATCAGCAGGGATAAGGTTTGGGATACTTCGGGGATAGTTTTGGGTCTGGAATGGAAAAGCCCACACAGCTTGTGCTGGGAGAAGACCCATGAGAAGCTTCCCTGTTATCAGATGCCAGACAGAGGGTTCAGCCTCAGCCCCCACAGGCAAACATGCGTGTCCATGACCCAGCAGAGCAGGTCAGTACAGCACATTCCTGGCTCCAAGGCTTCCCCAGCACAACCTTCACCCCAAGCCACCCAGCACAGCACCCAGCCCACCCATGCTCAGCTCCCAGAGCCCTTTGCACCCTCCTGACTGCAGAAATAGGCAGTGGGAGGCATGAGGGGACAGGGAATGTGGGGTGCTGGGGGGCAGGATGCAGCCTGGCACGTACTCTGTGGGCATTTACACTGCAGGATCCAGGCTGCTCCAGTGGAAACAAATCCTAGTGCCAGAGCAAGGCAGGGACCCCTCTTTGCAGGGGAGCACCCCCTGCCTGTATCCCTCCCCAGCTCCTCCCTGAGGCTGGTTTTCACAGACAAGGATAAGGAGCAGAGTTCCCCCCCCCCCCTAAATAACACCTTGGTAACAGAGCAGAACCATTGCTCCCTCAAGCCCAGGAAATCATATTAGCTCCATCACACTGCAACTTCCAGTTGGTGGGAAAAGCCCCAGGAGCTCCCAGTGCCTCTGCTCAGCCAGGGGAAGGGCAGAGCTTGCAGCAGGCTGAGGCTGCAAAAGTTGTTCCTGTTCCTTTTGCAGGCTGTGGCTTCCTGAGCAGAGGCCACCCTACCCGTGAGAGGCACACATGATGAACTGCCAGCACCCCAGGGGGTGCACAGCCCTCCCCTGGGTGCTGCAGGCTGGGAGACAGTGGGTTAACTACGCCACAGAGCAGCCTGTTTCCTCCAACTACTCCTTTTTTGGTGTCTGTTTGCTTCTGAAAAGCACATGTGTGACAAGACAGGACACGGGGCTGCAATAAGTGGTGGCAGGATGTTCGCTGTTAGTAGATACAACCAGGTCACTACAGTGTCACTTGAAGGCAGGAGAACAAGTCACACCATCAGGAGTTGAGACTCTGTTTCAAAGGGCTCTTTGCAGTTGGTTCTGTTCACTTCCAGTGGCTCACAACAGCATGTGCATGCAGATGGCCACCTCCCAGCCGACACACAGGAGAGAGACCGGAAACTCCTCGCAGCTCACCACAAGTCCAAGCTACCCACACGTCTCCCCGGGCTGAACCCAGTCCCAGATGTGCAGGGAACCATCACTGGCTGCTGATAGTAAAGTTCTTGGTCTCTGTGGGTGCCACGCGTGGGCTGTGACCAGGGGAGGGTCTCCATTGCTGTCCTGTTCCCCAAACATGTGGCCTCTGTGGACAAAGGTTGGTTCTGGTGTCCTGGCAGAGCTGTCCCAGCTCCGAGTGTCATACACGTGCACAGTGCCATCAAAACCTGAGTGAAAGGGAATCAGAGACACCACAAGTCAACCACCGTGTTCCAGTGCTGTTGGGCTTCACCTCCCAGCAGAGCTGCTGAGACAGAAACAAGGACAAAGGCTCAGACTGAAAACCTGCGACAGCAAAGCAGCCAAAGCCTCTGAGGAGCTTGCCTTGAGCTCACAGCTGCTGGGTGAGCAAAGGCCAAATCCCCAAAGCTCCCACATTCACTAGTTGGATTTTGCAATGCTCTGGCCAAGAGGCAGCTATTGCTGCCCAGCTGGTGTTATCAGCACAGTGTCCCTGCAGCCAGGAGGTCACTGGCACTGTCAGGGCAGCGTCTGCTGAGAGCTGGGGTGTTTGTTCTCATAGGAGGGAAGCTGGAGCCCCCCCAAAACCCACACAGGCCCCACTTCTGGTTGTTGGGGGAGAAACAGCAGTAGAGGACATTGAGCTCCCATCTCTGCTGGCGCCAGGGGCAGCTCTGAACAAGCACCCCCTGCCTGGGGTGTGTGAAGTGGAGTGGAATTGATACAGACACAGCTCAAACTGCCCCCTGTCTTCATAAGGGGCTGGAGCAGCTCCCGTCTGGAGCCAGGCTGAGAACATTGGGGCTGTTGAGCCTGGAGAAGAGAAGCTGCTGGAGACCTCAGAGCAGCTTCAGTGTCTGAAGGAGGCTACCAAGCTGCTGGGGAGAGGACTTTCTCAGGGG